CGTTTTTCAATGCTTCTAATTAATCAATTCATTAGCTTATTATGATTATGTATTACATAAGATGATTGTGAATAATCAATAACAGTAGGATAATGTAATAGCAAGATGAAGATGAATTCACTTGGTATTGTTTAGTTGAATCTTTCTATTGATGTGTTAGGACTACAAGTGATCAGTCTCATATTGGCATACGTGTATATTGTGCATATTGCTTCTTACTTACTTACTTACTTACACCTGTTACTCCAAATGGAGCATAGGCCGCCGATCAACATTCTCCAACCCACTATGTCCTGGGCCTTCTTTTCTAGTTCTATCCAATTATTGTTCATTCTTCTCATGTCTAACTCCATTTCGCGACGTAATATGTTCTTTGGTCTTCCTCTTCTCCTTTGATATTGAGGATTCCATGTGAAGGATTGCTGTGTGACGCAGTTGGATGCTTTCCTCAATGTGTGTCCTATCCACTTCCAGCGTTTCTTCCTCCGCTGAGATCTGGTTTGTTCTCTTTCACACTAGGTTGTTACTGATAGTGTCTGGTCAACAGATCCGAAGTATTTTGCATAGACAACTGTTATTAAACACTTATATCTTGTCAATGATGGCTTTCGTAGTTCTCCAGGTTTCCGCTCCCATAGAGTAGAACTGTCTTGACATTTGTATTGAAAATCCTGACCTTAGTGTTGGTTGACAGACAGTTGTTTTGAGTTCCGAATGTTCTTCAATTGTAGATATACTGTTCTTGCTTTGCCGATTCGCGCCTTCACATCTGCATCAGATCCACTGTGTTCATCAATGATGGTGCCCAGATATGTAAAGGTTTATACATCTTCCAAATCTTCTCCATCAAGTGTGATTCGATTGTTGCATGCTGTGTTGTATCGAAGAATCTCGCTTCTTCCTTTGTGTATATTGAGACCTACTGCTGCTGAGGCTGCTGCTCCACTGTTCGTCTTCTCCTGCATTTGTTGTTGCGTTTGCGATAGAAAGGCCAGATCATCTACGAAGTCGCGTATTGCCTTAATTTACAGGTATTATATGCAAAGTTGGATAGTGGTTAATAGTGGAATTCAGGACGCGCATTTCGTCCTATTTGGAACTTGTTAGCTGGATGTACCTTCATTTCATAGTTGATATTCATTCTAGGACTCGAATCAAATACTGTTCACTTCAAATACCATTACGTAATCCATTTAGCTACTGAATCCATCTTTGCTTAGAATGCTTGTGAATTAGGATTATATCAAGGCAAAATGCACACATGCCAACAAGAGACTAATCAGTTTCAATGTTAAAAATATCACCGGTAAAGTTCAAGTAAACAACAATATCAAGTGAATTTACACTTCAGTATAGGATTGTGAAGATTATTAAGTTATTGATTGAGATCATGAACCGATTGATTTTAGACCACCATTGAAAACCTGGAAGCACTGGAATGTCGTTTCATCCTACTGTAGGACTCCTCAATGGCACTGCGCATCCACGACATCTCCCCCCCCCGCGGGGTTGGGATACAAGACGTATTAGTCTCGAGTGCGAACACTTAACCTAGTAAACCACTGAGTCAGCATCCAACAGTATTCATGTCTAACCTCAACCAATCCACGAAATTACTATACCTATCTTACACTGTTGAGGAATCCCATAACAGGAAGAAACGGCCGTCAAACAATACTTTCCAATTGATCAATAATGATCTCATAATATCAATCAATCGATTCATGATCTCGATCCATTTATATTTTCAACTCAATGTTATCATATTCTATACCATTGAATCAATATTGAAATGAAACTAAATAAATAAAACATCAGTTTACTATTTCTTATTCAATGATCAATCAATGTAATGAGTTCATTAAAACAAACCTTTATTATTATTATTATGATGTATATATACACGTATACCCCCCACACACACACACTATTCAATAGAGAAGTTTATAAACAATAAAACTTATTATTTTCTTTTTTTTAATTTTTCGTTAGAAACAAACTTGAAATAAGAAAAAAACCGCCACTTTTTCTCTCTTTTTTTCTTTTTTTTGCAACTTGGATACAGTTTGAATTTTGTTTTGTTTTTGTTTTATTCATCATAAGCAAAAACGGATTAAAAACTAATCAGCAACACAATAATTTATTGTACATTGAATTTAATTTAATAAAACAAAATTGATATAAATGAAAAAGGAAAAAAAGCGATGTTGTTGGAGAAATTAAAAAGATGAAATATGAAGATTCGGCGCTTTGATCGGGTTAGTGGACATAGAAGATACACCTACGAGGAGTTGGAGAATTTTGATCTCAAACCAATGATTTACATGAGCATTAGGATCCTGAAGGAATAAATGGTGTATGAAACAATTCTTGATCTTCGATTATGTTATGACTTTAAGTTGGGTCGATTTCTACTCTGCGCCAATTGTTGTAACGTGTAGACTGCAGGTTATGGATGGAGCAGCGTATTTATCGATCGCTTCTGTGACACGTATAACACGTACGAACGACCTAGTGTTCTGATTGGTCTCGCTTCCCTGTCTAACCCAGTCAGTTGAATCCAGAACACAAGTCACAACCTCTGAGATATGAATCATTGTATTTCAGACATACTCTATTTATATATTAACCAAACAGATCATATCGTACCATAAAAATAGAAAACAACATTTGTACAATATTCAACGAATGAAATAAATAATGGCCAATAGGAAATGTCCATTTAACGTCCAAGGACATCATTAGACTTAACATGATCCATAACAGGTTACCATGAGACTATTTTCTGACGTTGCTCTACTATCTTGTTGATTAGACATTTAGGTTGAAGGCTTCAGTAGTGACCTCCTATGAAAACCACCGGCTTTGGTCTGGGCACCCGATCAGTATCACAGCTCACACATAAATCAAGTGACTTGTATGGTGTATATGTATTCGGTGCCTCTTTGTACCAATATATATGTGTCCAAATAAATAAATAATGTAAACCTTAAAGAGTGTAGAAACATACATAAGAAGAAGGCGGGGGAGGATAAGAGTACCGTTGTCGAAACCTTTATCTACGTAGAATCTGTTTGGCTTAATTTTTTTTGACAAACACGTTCTTTTCTACAGTTTTTTATAAATAAGTGCTAACAAGAATTGGAAAATGGAACTAGTCAAGAGTTTATTACCAACCAGTACAATAAAAGCAACATTCTTCGATACAACACAGCATGCAACAATCGAATCACACTTGATGGAGAAGATTTGGAAGATGTAAAAACCTTTACATATCTGGACACCATCATTGATGAACACAGTGCATCTGACGCAGATATGAAGGTGCGGATCATCAAAACAAGAGGAGAATATCTACAATTGAAGAACATCCGGAACTCAAAACAACTGTCTGTCAACCAACACTAAAGTCACAATTTTCAATACAAATGTCAAGACAGTTCTACTCTATGGGAGCAGAAACCTAGCGAACTACGAAAGCCATCATTGACAAGATATAAGTGTTTAATAACAGTTGTCTATGCAAAATACTTCGGATCCGTTGACCAGACACTATCAGTAACAACCTACTGTGAGAGAGAACAAACCAGATCCCAGTGGAGGAAAAAATGAGGAAGAAACGCTGGAAGTGGATAGGACACACATTGAGGAAAGCATCCAACTGCGTCACACAGCAATCCTTCACATGGAATCCTCAATATCAAAAGAGAAGAGGAAGACCAAAGAACACATTACGCCAAGAAATGGAGATAGAGATGAGAAGAATGAACAACAATTGGATAGAACTGAAAAGGAAGGGTGAGGGCAGAGTGGGTTGGAGAATGTTGATCGGTGTAAGTAAGTGCAATAAAATTTGACACTACTTGCGGTTTACAAATAAACAAATGATTTTCTATATTATTTTGATGTGTTCAATTCATATTGTTAGTACCGTTTCAGGTATAGTGTTTATTATTATACAAGAATTGAATTATTTATTTGTGAACTAATCAAATTCTAATGTAACCTAATTTAAGGTAACCGCTAAAATGCCTTCAATCAGTGTTTTATGTTATCTGCCAGAAGTTAACAATGTTCTATACTTCCTCCATAGAACTAATACAAACCTTCTTCCTTCTATAAGATTTAAATCGTATCATTCATCGTTACAATGACAGGGACTATAAATGAAAGAATTCATCAAATGTATAACCAGAATGGGTTTTGTGGAGATTTTTAGAAATTTTACAGGTTGAAACCATGAGTCAATTGAAGCTAGACCACCATGGAAAACCTGGAAGCACTGGACGGCCGTTTCGTCCTATTGTGACACTCCTAAGCAGTGCGCATCTGCGATCCCGCTCCCCTCCCTGCTCGGCGAGATTCGAACCCAGAACCTATCAATCTCTTACGCGAGCACGTAACTATTAGACTACTGAGCTGCCCGTCATCCGACGGTGTTAATGTCTAACTTTAACCAATCCACAAAATTGCGCTACCGTACACCCTTGTCTTCAGTGAGCTGATATCTCACAACAGATCTGGTTGAATGTATAACCTCTTATTATCACTATCATATTGTCTAATTCAAAGTGTATTGATTGAATTTGACCTAAGTAAATCTGAAAGGGATTCCATTAAACTCATATTGAAAATCAGTAACTATGGTGTTTATAGTAACCTATCAATGGATTAGATATTGTCATAGACGTTCTGTTACCTTTTCTTTCTTTAGTTTGTTTCTAACTACTTGAACGCTTTTTTGAATATGTTTGAGAATTTCTATTTCTTTAATTATAATCTGTTAGATCTAAGTTTCTATGCTTTTTATTATTACATCTTGAAGATCTTAAGAGTCTCCATGAATCCCTTGTAAATGTCTTCAGAAGCTAGGACAACTTTGAAATCACTTCAAAAGATCTGTGTTCTTCAGGAACTTTCAACAAAATGTTGGAAAACAGAGGATCATGATTAAACAATCAACTATAGTCTGTCACTAATACCTTCAGGTCTCATATCCAGCTCCTGATATTTAGACTATTGAGATGGTAATTACAAGTCCATTATTATCTTCAGTGGTTATCTGCCACCTATTCAACATGAGAAATTAATCTATTTTCATTATAAAAGCAACTTACTTTTGAAGTAAACATCTATATGGATTGTTGAACTTTCATGAAATGTTGGAACATTGAATTTAGACAATCTGATACTCAAACTGACCATACTGAAAAAAACAAAAATAAAAAAAGAGTTAATATTAATTTCAATAGTTGAGATCATGAGTCATTTGAAGTTAGACTATCATGAAAAACCTGGAAATACTATTTGATGTCTATTTCGTCTTAGTATGAGACTCCTCAGTTGTGTGCATCCACGATCCCGTATAAAGGATTTGAACCTAGAATCTTCAGTCTAGCCGTCCAATGCTTCTAGTTCTCCCATGATGATCTACTATTAATTGACTCATGAATTAAACTATGAAATTAATATAATCTCCATAAAACACTTTTTCTGATAACAATCATCATGTGCTTACTAGTGACTGGCTTCAACAGGTATTTCCTGGAATTGTAGTGAGAAGCCATGACCAGTGGCGTTCAACCGTATCTATTGTGAGACAGTTACTAACTGTAGACAGTGGTGAACGGTGTTGCCTATATTTCGTGGATTCGTTGAAATTAGACATTAACACCATTGGATACAGGCTCAGTGATCTAAAGGTTAAGTGTTCACGCGCAAGACCAAAGGTCCTGGGTCGTACTGGGTTTTTTTTTCGAATGATACAAACCAGTGTTACTGTGGTTTATATTCAATATGAACTAAAGAGAAATCTTAGTCTTCCTGTCATTCATTTACATAAGACTGTCTGAAAAGAAGACTAGGTTTTGAATATAACGAACTTATAGATATATTTCTCCTACGTCAGTCAGTCGGCTACAACGTAGAACTAGGCATATATATGCATGAGTCCAAGTTGCCATACCTCATTAGCACAACAACATGAACACCGGATTCATAGAAGTAGTTAAGATTACGAATCCATCTTAGTTGAACCACCATTATAACCTATGAAGCATTGAACATCTGTTTCGTCCTGGTATCGGACTCCTCAGCATTACGCGCAATGTCATAAACTGATTTAGGTTATACTTGCATATTATCGAATAATGGCTCTGACACGAGATCAAATATCTTGGGTTTGATTCCATGTGTTGAAGTTGTGAATATACACTGTTAAGATATCCCATAACAGAACAAAACTGATGTATAGTGATCCTTGGTTTCCAGTGGTTTTCTTTTAGCTTGGATCAGTTCGTGATGAAAGCCCTAAATCTAATTCCTAACCCTAACCATCAAATGTATATCATAATCCTTATTCTTTAAACTGCCTTATAACCCTCATTCAGTCTTAGTAAGTAGGTCACTTTAACGTCGCCCCAAGGTCGTTCATAAATTATAGTCTCACTGATTTAATCACTAAGCTACTTCATTGCATCCTCCTTATTGAAGTATATCATCTGTAATCGCCTAGATATAAGAAAGCCTACAAAATCTTAATCTTTAGAAACATCATCTTGGCACATTCATTTTAGTCATAAAAAATTGGTATGATTGTAAAATCAAATTCTGGATAAGTTCTGTCTTTCTTAAATTGTCTTGTTTCCTGATATGAATGAATTTTGTAGTTGATTACTTTGCTAGAAGTAATGAATATTTCATATCTTCACCACGATTGTGATTAAACTGTGTTGATATGAAAACTAACAATGTTCAGGTGAAAGGCCTCCAGTTCGAGCCCTATGTTAACTACATCAGTTGCGGTAAAATGGTAGTAGGATTACTAGATCTCATTTATTTATTTGAACAAATAAATATTAGTACAAAGGAGCACCAAATACATATGCGCCACACAACGCACTTGATTTATGTGTGAGCTATGATACTGTTCGTGTGCCCGGACCGAAGCAGGTGATTTTCTTAGGAGGCCACAACCGGAGACTTCGACCTAAAGGTTGAGGTTGTGGAACAACGTAAGGAAATGCAGTCTCATGGTAGCTAGTGACCAACAATCGGTCCATACACTATTTGTTCCCTCAGGATCCTAGAACACATGTGCAGTGCTTGAAGTCCCTGACTTCTGGTCTGAGCCATGCTGGTAGATGCAAACTAGTCGGTTGGGGTCCGCATGACTATCGTAATCAATGGTTAGAGACTGTTGGTGACACGGCTCAGAATCGATCACAATGGCATAGCTGTATACAATCCCTGTCTTCCCTCAAACCATGAGATTATAATCGCTTCATATCGTTCTTTCCACCAACAAATTCTTTCTTCCCATACTATGTCCTTATATGCAATCTTTATTTTATATGTTACCATCATTGAGTTAACTACTTCTATGAATCTGGTGTTCATGTTGTTGTGCTAATGAGGTATGGCAACTTGAACAGATGCATGTACGTGCTTGGTCCTACGTTGTAACTGACTGACTGACTGATTGAGTACATATGCACTGCTAATCTGAGAATCAGGGTTGCCAAACACCCCCTAGATGGATCCTTCATATCCACCAACCCGGTTAAAACACCCATTACTCGCTTTTCGTTCTCTCAATTTTTAAAACGACACCGTGACCGCGAGAAGTCAGTGAGTAGAACTTCCCTGGTAGTAATTGTATACGCGTGACCATGTAAGAGCATTTGGAGAAGAAGGACAGACTCTCACCACCCTCGGCCGTGTCAGGGAATTTTAATGGTCTAAATAAGAACAGTAACAAGGCAGATTCGCATGAATATGGCATACAATTCTCTTCAAACCTAGCACAAAACAATAGCATCATTCATAGTCCTATCATCTACCATTTACAGAGTAGGCAACCGAAACCTCCCAAGATCACCATCCGGGCATACAATAATCTAGCTACCCATCATATAACCAATATAAGCTATAGTCTAAAACATCAACCTTTTCATTTAGTTAGAAAAAATAATCATTATGAAGGTTGTAGAGATTATTAAGTTTTTGATTGAGATCATGAACCGATTGATGTTAGATCACTATTGAAAACCTGAAAACACTGAACAGCCGTTTTGTCCTATTGTGGGACTTCTCAGTGACAGTGAGAAATCACGATCTCGCTCGCGGGATTCGAACCCAGGGCCTTCAGTCTCTCAGGCGAATGCTTAATCTACTGATTCACTGAGCCGGCATCCAATGCTTTTAATGTCTAAACTCAACCAATACACGAAGTTGCGCTAACATCTTCCATTGTACTGAGGTAGATACCTGTCTCTACCTGATACAGGATCGTGGATGCACGCTACTGAGTAGTTCCACAATAGGATGAAACAGCAATCTAGTAGTACTTCCAGGTTCCTAACGATGGTCTAACATCAATCGGTTGATGATCTCAATCAACAACCAAAAAACAAAACGAATGTAAAACATACCTTGATATAGATAATTCTGTATAAGGATAAGAATGTTTCAGATGTATTAAACGTATAAAATGATTATTTTTAATTAAATTATGTAATTGTAAATTAACATAATCTAATCTTGTTAATGCACCACTAGCTGTTTCACCACATTTATTCATTTGTTCATTATAATAGGGAATTAAATGACTACAATTCATAATATGAAATTGTGATCTAAATTGAGTAGTATTATCCATTAATGAATTGAGATTGAGCATAGATGATCTATACTTATTAGATATATATGTAGATGATAAATTACTAGAATTTGATAGAAGATAACGAAATTTCATAACCTATATAATATAATAATTAGATAATATAAAATGATTGTTACTATGGGGGAAAACATTAATGAACTTATCAGTATAGTAGTTGTGGAGATTGTTAAGTTTTTGATTGAGATCATGAATCGATTGAAGCACTGGATGGGTCAATGATTCAGTAGGTTAAGCGTTCAAGCGCGCGACATTGAATGTCCTGGGTTCGAATCCTGCGAGCGGGATCGTGGATACGCATTGTTGAGGAGTTCCACAATAGGATGAAAAGGCTGTCTAGTGCTTCCAGGTTTTCAATGGTGATCTAATATCAATTGGTTCATGATCTCAATCAAAAAATAAATGAACTTAGTTGTAATACAATTTAAAATTAAAAAAAAAATTGTTGCCTAGATGATATTACATAATCTATTTTGAGGTAGCTCGGTTTTTCATGTTTACACAAATAGGATATTCATTTTAGATTAAATGAATATTTAAACTAGATTCCTTTCTAGTGTGTTTATTCTCAGTCAGTCAGTTATAATGTAGGACTAGGCACATATATATATTTTTTTCTGGTTAGCGTTTTTTTGGCGAGTTAGTTTTCTACGGGATGGGGACGCTAACCCCATGCCCAACCCTCCTAATTTATCCGGGCTTGGGACCGGCAATAGCCCTCGAAGGGACTCCAGGTGGAGTTAACGACTCAAAATTAAAATCTAATTTCGAATCTATTTGTTTTCGAAAGTTTGCGAATTAAGTAGTCACATCAAAATATCTGGACCATGAATAAAAAAAATTAGGAAGAAGCGCTGGAAGTGGATAGGACACACATTGAAGAAAGCACTCAACTGCGTCACAAGACAAGCTCTCACATGGAATCCTCAATATCAAAGGAGAAGAGGAAGACCAAAGAACACATTACGCCGAGAAATGAAGATAGACATGAGAAAAATGAACAAGAATTGGATGGAAATAGAAAGTAAGGCCCAGGACAGAGTGGGTTGGAGAATGCTGGTCGGCGGCCAATGCTCCATTAGGAGTAACAGGCCTAAGTAAGTAAGTAAGGCACATATATGCATCAGTCGAAGTTGCCTCATTAACACAACAACATAAACACCGGATTCATAAAAGTAGTTAATTCAGTGGTGGTAATATATAAAAGAAAGATTGTATATAAGGATATAGTACAGGAAGAAAGAATTAGTTGGTAGAATGAGGGTATACACCGACGTCTTTGTGATCGATTCTGAGCCACGTCACCAAGAGTCCCCAACCATTGGTTACGATAGTCATGCGGACCCCAACCAAGTAGTCTGTATCTACCAACATGGCTCAGATTAGAAGTTAGTGACTTCAAGCACTGATGCCACGTTTTGGTTTGGCCGCCCCTAACTTTCTTTCCCCTATACTAGTCAACATTGCGCTTTGTGGTATTCGGTGTTAAGGCATACGTAACACGTAGCTCAAACATCTCAGTCGATAAAGATTCACAACATCATTAACTGGCTTATCATCATTCCCAAATACCTTGCATCTAACCATACTATTACTTGCCAGGTGATCCCAGCAGATGTGAGCAATATTTCTAAGACATGTATGATCGAATACAAGTAGTTAACAAGTATCTTCTATTCTTAATGGCCACGTTTCGCAGCCATAAAGTAGGACAGAAAGAACTGCTGCGTAGTATACTCGTCCTTTAATCAATAGATGGATATCTTACCTTCGCCATCGGTGACGTAAGTTGGCAAATGCCAACATAATTCACATCAAGAATACGTGATTAGCCTGACTAAAATGCAGATATATTTCCACACTAAACACTGACAACAATCTAACGGCGATCAGCAATCCATCATCAATTTATAATAATAATAATACGAGTAGGAGAATATATAACTCATCTAACACCAGTCAGACTATCTACAAATCTGACTATTCTCGTCCATACATCATAAATAATTGAAAGAGATCTTGGTTTGGCCACTTCTAACTTTCTTCTAACCATCCCCTATACTAGTCAACATTGTGCGTTATGGCAATCGGTGTTCAGGCATACGCAACACATATCAATCAACTTACCACTGTTAATATCTTACGTAATAATGAAGAACTTGGTGATACAATTACTTTTGTTTCAAAAAAACTATTAATTAATTGTAATTCAATATGATCTAATGTATGATTATATATAAAATATTGATTTTCTTCATGAGGATAATGTTGATGATCATCGTCATCATGATCTTGATCTTGATGTTGATCTTGATCTGGATCCATAATTGATAAAGTATTCTTTGATAAAATATCTTTACTAATTGAAGTGAATAATTGATATACTTTAGTATAACAATGATGATTATGATTCATTGTATTATGAATAGATTTGATTGGATTGAAATATTTCAAGTACTTGTATAAGTTCCAAATAGATTGAATAGTAAATTTTGTTAATAATTTAGCTTGATATAACTCTTTAGATAAATTTTTAATTAAATCATATGCTGTACGATTATAAATTTGTAATAATGCTTTCTGTTGATAGAGTATACCATATTGAACCTTTGAATGAATGAATAAACGAAAATGGAATGTTGAATGTTGATATCATTGAATGAGGAAATATTGATCTAAAGAGGGCATCGAATACACATGTACTACATAATGTACTTGAATTGTGTATGGGTTGTGATATTGCTTAGGTGGCCAGATCGAAGTAGATGGTTGAATCAGGGGGCCACATACAGAGCCTTCAATGAAAAGGTCGCCTCCGAATGGCCTGGTAGGGTCGAGGGTGAGGAGAATCTGGTCTTCCTCTTCAAATGCTCTCATATGGTCACGCGTATACAGCCACTGTCGAAGAAGTAATACTTATTGACTTCTCGCTGCTGCGGTGTTGTTTATGAAAATGACAGGTTAAAAACTGAATGTCCGGTGCTTTAATTAGGTTGACAGATATAGAAGATCCATCTGAGGGAGTTGGAAAATCATCATTCCAAACCAATAGTTTACATAAGCTCCAGGATTCTAAGAAAACAAATGGCGTATGGACCAATTGTTGGTCAACGGCTACCATGGGACTGCGTCTCCTGATGTTGCTCTACTGCCTTGTAGATCAGACCTTTAAGTCAAAGGCTCCGGGTGAGGCGCCCTATGAAAACCACCTGCATCTGTTTGAACATCCGGGCAGTATCCCAGCTATCACACAAATCGAATGATTGATGTGGCGTATATCTTTTTGGTGCATCCTTGTACCAATATTAATGCGTTTACATAAATAAAACATAAAAGTCTAATCACTAAGACAGTAGAGTAACGTCATGAAATGCAGTCCTATGGTAGCCGTTGACGAACAATAGGTTCATACGCCATTTTTTCCTTCAGAATCCTGAAGTCGATGTTTACCATTGGTTTGGAATTACGGTGTTTTCCAACTTCATATCTAACAGTCCTGTTTAGGCTCCAAACACTCGCTTTTCATTGTCTTATTTTCTTAAACAACAGATTGACGAGAAAGAAATGTGTAAAATTTCCCAGTCGGGAGTTCTATACACGTGGCTATGTGATGCATGAATGATAAATATAAATCCATGTTAGATTATTAGACTCAATTATTGTATGTGACTGATATGGTGTGTGTTTGGATTTCATAAAGATTTTGAAAAGAATTACCGTAAGGATAAATCTCGAACATCATGAAACACAATTCACTTGATGTTGTTTTACTTGTATCTTTGCATTGATGTTTAGGATTGCAATTGATGAGTCTCTTATTGGTATATGTGCATGGTGTACGGATTGCCTCGATATTGCCTTAATTCAAAAGGATTCCAAGCAAAGATGGATGGTGTCTAGTAGTGGAATTCAGTTTGACGCACCTTTCTATCTATTTGGGACTCGTCAGATGGATGTACCTGGATTCCATTGCAAGCCACTATCTATCTTGGCTTATAAAGATTATGAAACACAAGTATACACAAAATAGATAACATGTGACTACCAATGAAATGTATAGAATGCGTTTCGTCTTATACAGGACTCGTCATCTGGATGTACTTGCATTCTAGTGTTAATGTTCACAATGGAAATAGGACCTAGTACCTGCGTGTCAAATTCGAACTCAGAACCTTCGGTCTTATGCGAGAATGCTTAACCTCTAGATTATTGAGCCAACATTCAATGGTTTCAATGTCTAATTGAAATCAATCCGTGATCTTGCACAACTCATCATCCACTGATTCAATCTAGGCATTAACACCGCTGGGTTAAGAGTCCACGTACGTGACCAAAGTACCTGGGTTCGAATCCCACTCTTGGGATCATGGATGTTCACCGATGAAGACTCCTATACTAGGACGAAACGGGGATCCAGTACCTTCAGGTTTTCAATGTTAATCTAACACTGATCCATCCATGATCTCAATAACTTTAATGACAAATTGTTGACAATAAACGATATAAAGCCTATTAGACTTAAGGGTTTTATCTTAGTTTATAATAAGAGATTAGATTCATAATATAATAATGCTGTTTGTTAGTGATTAGATCTTTTCATTTAGAATAATAGTTCTTTTTTGTTGTACCTTTCTCATCTAATATTTCAACTGTTAATACATTTATTCCCAAGACCATTTGAAACTGACACTACACTATATTGTTAATCTATAATTCTCTCTATATTACCTTTATTTTCTAAACAGTAAGCGATGATAAAGCGTTTCCGATTTGTTCTAAGGTGACATATACATACATTCATGCATAATCATTGGTGGTCTAATTAAAAAAAACAACGGTGATCTGTTGAAACATTATCAAAAGATTAAAATCATATCATTGAATAAGGAATCGATACTTTGTTTAAGCGTAATCGCTTTCTATCCTTCTTTTAACAGATTGATTGTCATGTTAACATTCACTTAGTGTTGCTGCAATTGATCAGTCTCATGTTAGCATATGTGCATCCTGTGCGGATTGCCTTGATATAGCCTTAAGTCACAAGCATTCTAAGCAAAGATGGATGGAGGCTTGTAGTGGAATTCAGCTTGATGAGCGTTTCGTCCTAGTTGGGACTCGTCAACTGGATGTACCTGCATCCCAGAGTTGATGTTCATTCCGGGACTCCAACTCAGTACTGTTCGCTTCAAATACCATCGTGTACTTCACTTAGCTATTGAGTCTTGACAGCTACCTGTTTGTGCAATGGGATGAAGTTTAAATTCACTTGGTATTAGTTACTTGTATCTTCCCACTGTTATTTACGACTGCAATTGATCGGTCACATGTTGGGATATGTGTATGGTGTACGGATTGCCTTTATATTAGCCTTAAATCACATTTTAAGTTAACATATTAGTTAGTGTTCACTGCTAAGAATACCATATAATTAATAGTTTGATCATTCTCATTGTTAGTTTTGATTGTCGTTTTTGGGCAGTAACATCAACTCCTTACTCATGTACGGTAAGGAATGTAAACCGACTTTCATTTGTACAATGAATGACAGATAATTTCCAAAAGCATGACTTTCAAATCAATAGGGAATCAGTGAATACATTAGCGTATACTACCCGATTTATAAGAGTTCGAGATCAATTGTAAAAGGCAGTAAACAAGATTGTAAAACACAAATGTAAATAACAAAACCTTAGTAAAGAGTCAGTTACTAAAAACTAACTGATTTAACACTTGTACAGTAACTGTGAAGTGTAATTCTACATGAAGTAGCCATTGAAATTATTAGTCAGCTCAGAGAACTCAATGACACTGATAAACTTCCTGCTAGAATGTGACATTGATGTGTTTATTATTATTTCAATAGGAAATGATTACCATAAGAATCAAACATGTAGAATATAAAACAGTTGTTATCAATGTCATTGGATAGTTGTGACGATATATCATAAATTGATTGAAGATGTAATTTTACTAATGGACATCGACTTAATGAATCGAGTGTTCAAGTGTTCCCCGCTAGATCTGAAGGTCTTGGGTTTGATTCACGGTTGAGTCATGGATGAGCATACCTGAGGAGTCTCGTACTAGGACTAAGCAACAGAAATGTGCTTCATGGTTGTTAATAAATTTCAACTGAGGTCGATATATGATGAATATAATCAAGGAGGCTAAAACTAGTTTATAGTTGATATTTAATTTCAGTTATTATTGACATTGTGGTGGGTAAATTTTTAGTGTTTAATTCTGTAAAATCGTCAACACTATCCGGAATTCATATGATCGACTACACGGTAATGTGGTGCATGGAGGACAGGTGACAGACGTATTCCACGTGAAAAGGGCGGCCTGCTTGAGCATCTGGGCTACCTGTTCCTGCCATCTAGATATTTCAACAAGTTATCTATTATTGTTTGTTTTAATATATCATTATGTTTATTAATCGCATAACCTATTCTGCTGCGTTTCTGAAAAGTGTACAACCTTTCGTTGTCAAAGTTACAGAAAACTCAATAAGAGACAATATGGTTGCTGGCAATGTACAACGAAAAGAATGTACATTATTCAGTTGTTCATTCACTGAAGTGCTAACATCTAACTGGCGATTCCTCAATATTTATCGCCAGGACCGACGAAGAAGAAAGAAACGGAAACTTGTTGAAATACTTCGTGCTGAGAATTCTATATTGTACCAAAATTATAATATTGAATAAAGCTAATAATAATAATAATAATATTCCAAGTGGGGACTGGAATTAGACAATACTGCTTACTCCTCCCCCTTTCTCTTACCTATCATGATTGACTGCACTATGAAGACCTACGCATTTAACGAGAAGCACAAAAGAAAATGGACAGGTGGGGTAGAAGTAGAAGATTCTGACTTCGCAGATGACCTAGCCCTTCTATCAATACAGGTCACCAAATGAACGTAGAGACATACAGAATAACATCAGCCTCTGCGTCAGTAGGCCTCAAGGTACACAAAGAAAAAAGCAAGATACTGTCATACAATACATAGAACATCAACTCAATCACACGTAATGAATCAACTTTAGAAGGGTTGGAATCTTTCACATATCTAGGTAGTATCATCTACAAACAAGGGAGATCTTATGCAAATGTGAAGGCAAAGATTGGCAAAGCAACAGGAACATTTCTACAACTGAAGAACATGTGAAACTCAAAACAACTGTCTATCAACCATTGTCAAAGTGAGAATCTTCAATACAAACGTCTAGACAGTTCTACTGTATGGAGCTGAAACGTGGAAAACTACAACAACCATCATCAAGAAGGTACGATTATTTATAAACAGTTGTCTACACAAGATACTCAATGTCCATGGCTGGTAATCATCAGCAACAACCAACTGTGAGAGGGAATGAACCAGTTTCTAATTGAAGATGAAATTAGGGAAAGACATTGTAGGTGTATATGACATACATTGCGGAAATCATCAAACTGCATCACGAGGCAAGCCCTAACTTGGAATCCTGAAGGTAAACAGGAAAGAGGAAGACGAAGGAACATATTGCATCGTGAATCGGAAGCAAACATGATAAAGATGAATAGCAACTGGAAACAACTAGAAAGGATTGTCCATGACAGTATTAAATGGAAAATGCTGGTGGGTGGCGGCCGATGCTCCTCTACGAGAAGTAACAGGCGTAAGTAAGTAAGTTTAATTCTATGTGATCAAACTTACTACAGTACCGTTTCGTTTGAATAAATTTGTATTGAATTTCTGTAATAAATGTATTTGGATTGGAAGCTTTTCTAGTTGTACAACTGATTGTATATTATATGCTGGGCAAATATCTGTTAAATGTAAAAACAGTTTTGTGTAGAATAAAAATTACAATGGGATTACATGGATTGATAATCCGTTAAAAAAAGGAATACAAAATCTGTAACTTACATCAAAGACTGACCGTAGCTAGATAATCACCGACAACAGATGGGGACTAGTAGCTAATTCATCTTAGTATAAGGCTGAATAACAATGTTCAACCATGATTCAAACAGGGGTCGAACATAAAACTTCTAGTCAATGCACTGAACAATAAACATTCTAACTATTTATTTGTCATCCAATAGTTATCTTACTAAAGTCAATCTATCAAGTAGACTACACGTTAAACACTTTTGAGAAATCGCCTATTATTATTAATAATATAAATTTATCTGGTTTGTTCCATACAACTTTATCAGTTGAGATGGCTGGGACACATGTTACGTATGCTCAGCTACCGACTGCCCAGGCGTGCGATGTTTTGTGGTGTAGGAGTAGGTTAGAAGAAAGCTAGGGGTGGACAGATCAAAACATGGCACAAATCCATAAAGTCACTGACAAGTGGACTGAGTCATGTTGCTAGGTGTAGACTATCTGGTTGGGATGCACGAGACGATAACAATCGATGGTTATTTATTTCACTGGATTATACTCCTTAAATAACATCGTCAAACCCTAATGTTTCCGACTACTGCGCTTATACTCTTACTACCTCTACCACTATGGGATTTGAATTGACAATTGCATCTCTGTGCTAATTTGGTATAGCAACTTGAACTGATGTACGTATGTACGAAGTTCTACATTGTTACTGACTGACTGACTGATGCAACTTAATCCGTTGATAAATTTAAGCAAAGAAAAAGCAACAGGATTGATAGACTCAAATAGATTCGTTCCGTTCTAAGGCTTGTTATTAGCTGCAAACAGTAGGCAGAACATTATTTGTAAAATAAGAAAAATGGTTTATTGAAGCTTATAAAGAAGCACTGATCATCAAAATTTGAAATCACTAGATAGTTTTCACGTTCTAGTATTGGACTCTTCAGTGGTTGTATACATCAACCACTCCGCCATCAATGATCAAACGTAGAAACTTTGGTCTTGCAAGTTAATACTTCACTTCCAGAATACTAATCTGGATCCACTGATTATTTTAATAAAGTTAAGCAACTTCCATAACCTCCAATTTGATAATTATCATGTTCTCACTAAGGACTTGTTTTGAGAATAAATTTTTGGAGCCTCAGCAATCTCAAATGTCTTGAAGGTACCATAGAAAACAATACATTAGGTTAATGCAACATATTCAATTAAGTGAAGTAAAACTTGTGTATCAGCGGATATTGGATCCGTGGTACAGAAGTGAAACGTTAATGTACAAGACCAAAGGTATCTACAACAATGAGTTTCACAAATCTATCTATCTAGTTTGTTATTAACTGTAAACCGATAATGTTACTAACCAACACATTAAAATGTAAATAAACATATTTGTAACAGTAAACAGTTCAGACGAAACTAACCTTTAATCTTTGTTCCAAAATGATTTCCACTTTTGACAAAATATTGTTGCTAAATCAATATTAGAAATGTAAAAAGAACAGGTTAGAGTTAATTTGATTCCAAGTAGGCGCTTGCCTATTGACACAGTTTGATGATATCCACAATATACGTCTTATCCATCTCTAATATCGATTTCCTAAAATCCTCTTCAATTGGAAACTTGTTTTCTCTCTCCAACAGTAAGTTGTTACAAAGGGGGAACCGAATACATATGCACCACACAAGTCACTTGATTTGTGTGTGGACTGTGATACTACCTGCGTTCCCAGACTGAAAAAGGTGGTTGCCTTAGGGGACCGCACTCGAAGCCTCCGACCTAAAGGTCTGATCCACAAGGTAGTGGAGCGACATGAGGAGACGCAATCCTATGGTAGCCGTGATATGATGGAAAGATAAGTCAATTTTCAACTGATTTACTCATTCTGAGTTTTGTTCAACATTGACATCCGTTCTGATTCAACGTCAGGATCATTCAGTGTAGTATTTGATTTGTTTTCCCAGTATGATATTCTCTTCTGTATAATATACGATATTCTTGTATTTCATTGACATGAACTATGCTCAGTAAGTGATTTGTTATAACAGAGTATGTGATTTAATCTTAATTATGAATCAAAATGGGTGTACAATCAATGTAGAAACCAGCGTATTTTAGACTAGATTTCGATTCGTCGTCGTCATGGTGTTTAGGGCTAATAAATCTTCACTTATACCAGTCTTTGTGTTCTTACCTTCGCATCGTGGGAACTACCGAGGTCTCTCATTCCGAGTATAAGTGATCAGCGTTTTCCGGCACAACAATTGCGATGACCAAATATAACATAATGTTTTCTTGTAACTATGGCCACTATCGAGATATCCAATCATGGGGCCTATATACTACCAGAGATCAATCAAATTCAACTCTGAATATTTTGGTAGTATTATGTTGTTTGAGACGAATAGTTTAATTGTAAATGAGTTATTTCATCTTGAAAGTGATTAGAGGATTCAGAAATGAGTTTTTTTTCCGAAATCCATTATTATTATATATTTCAATAATAATCATTCATATGGTCAAGTTGGAGTCAGATCCCGAGCCACTAAAGTGGACAGCCCATCAACAAACATTGTCTAAATGACGACAAAATATTCACCTTAATACTTCTTAATCAGCGATCTAGTGATGAAGTGCTCGCGCGCGAAACTAGTAGGTCCTGGGTTCGAATCTCGCAGAGGGCGTGGTCGCAGATGCGCACTGCTGAGGAGTCCCACAATAGAACGAAACGCCCGTTCAGTGCTTCTAGGTTATCCATAGTGGTCTAGCTTCAACTGACTCATGATCTTAACCATTGAAATTATCATATTTGTTAAATCGCTTTGAATAAGACTGTATAGCTTCCATAGATGATGTCATTCATAATAAAATCTTTATTGATTTGTATTCATTTTCAGATATATAAACATTTGTATGTATCTATCCTCCTTAATTAGTAATATATAATGAGGTAATCAACTCTCATTGATCTGATAACATTTACGGTAATCAAACATTTTTAATTGAGATCATGAACCGATTGATGTTAGACCATCACAACTGAAAACCTGGAAGCACTGGACGGCCGTTTCGTCCTATTGTGGGACTCCTCAGCAGTGCGCATCCACGATCCCGCGAGCGGGATCCGAACCCAGGGCCTTCGGTCTCGCGCGCGAACGCTTAACCAACTGGACCACTGAGCCGGCATCCAATGGTGACAGTTTCTAACATCAACCAATCCACGAAATTGCGCGACCATCCTACATTGTACTGAGGTAAACACCTGTTTATATCCGACACGGATTAGCTCCATTGGTCACGGCTTCTCACTAGAACTCCGAGAATTCCCTCACGAAGCTAGTCACTAGTGAGCACATGTTGATTACTAGTATATAGGTTGTGGAGATTATTAAGTTTTTGATTGAGATCATGAACCGATTGATGTTAGACCATCACAATTGAAAACCGCTCGCGGGATCGTGGATGCGCACTGCTGAGGAGTCCCACAATGGGACGAAACGGCCGTCCAGTGCTTCCAGGTTTTCAATTGTGATGGTCTAACATCAATCGGTTCATGATCTCAATCAAAAACTTAATAATCTCCACAACCTATATACTAGCAAACATTTTTAGTTATCATATGTTGTGTGCTACTGATATCGACAGATATAAGTAGTATGTATCATTAATCGGAAATGAAATGCCTCGAAGCAGAAGATTGAGAGAAATCAAAGAGTAGAGAATATTGAACAGAGAATAACTGGTATGAAAATGATGAAATAACAAAGTCTGTAGTGTTATCATTGAAATAGATTTGATTGTTCTCACTGATATTCTTGTATAATGAAAGGTTTCTATCATATTGTATTTCATTAATTTTTTCTGGTTAGTGTTTTTTTAGCGGGTTAGTTTTCTACGGGATAGGGTCGCTAACCCCACGCCTAACCCTCCTAGTATATCCGGGATTGGGACCGGCAGTAGCCCCTGGAGGGACTCCAGGCGGAGAACTACGAAAGCCATCATCCAGAAAATACAAGTGTTTATTAACAGTTGTCTACGCAAAATACTTCGAATCCGTTGGTCGGACACTATTATCAACAACCTACTGTGGGAGAGAACAAACCAGATCTCAGCGGAGGAAGAAATCAGGAAGAAACGCTGGAAGTGGATAGGACACACATTGAGGAAAGCACTCAACTGCGTTACAAGACAAGTCCTCACATGGAATCCTCAAGGCTAAAGGAAAAGAGTAAGACCAAAGAACACATTACACCGGGAAATCGAGATAGACATGAAAAAAATGAATAAGAATTGGATAGAATTAGGAAATAAGGTCCAGGACAGAGGGGGTTGGAGAATGCTGGTCGGCGGCGTGAGTAAGTAAGTATTTCATTAAGTCAGAAAATAAACAATGGAATCATTATCAGAAAGGGTTTTGTGGAGATTTTAGAAATTTCACTAGTTGAAATTATGAGTCAATTGAAGCTAGCACAATTACTTCAATCTCCACAAATCTCCTTCTAATAATAAACATCATATGCTCAATAGTGACTGACTTCAAGACACACTCCTGAAGTTCTAGTGAGAAGCTGTGACCAGTGAAATTCAACCAGGTCTGTTGTAAGATATCAGCTCACTGATGATAATGGTGACGGTAGCGCAATTTTTTGTAGATTGATTGAAATTGAATCATTTGTTAGTTTCGTTCTAGTTCTTACTTAACATATGAGGCCTATACCATAACTTATCCTTTATCAATTTATTTGACTCCATGTATAAGTAAGCTGAATATAAATTCAATAACTTACTTGTATACTAATATACGAATGAAACTTTGGTCCAACAATAATAGATTGATCATTATTATCATCCATATTGAATTGTTGCCTAGGTGAACAATTTTGGTTTTGTACAGTTAAATAAAATCCAACATAACCTTTATTTGGTATTATGTAATCATATTCTTGTGGATCCAATATTAATTTCAATTCAGCATCTATCATGAAATGAAATCATAGAGGGATGAATGAACCACTTGGATTGAGAAAAAAAAACTAAATAAACATGAAATGGGTTACTTTTCAACGATCAATCCATTAAAATATCTAGACGTAATCAGTACTAGACTGAATGACTCGATGATAATGTGTCAGACTACGGAACGGGATAACTTGAGCTTGAACCCACTAGACAGTATTAGTTGCTTTGAGATTTTGAAACACAGATATATATATATCCAATAATATAAAGGAAATATGAGAATAAAAGTCATGTGAATGGGATTGATTACAACTAACTTTAGCCTGTTACTCCTCGTGGAGGAGCATAGGCCGCCCACCAGCACTCGCCATCCAACCCTGTCCTCGGCAATCCTTTCCAGCTCCCTCCAGTTGTTATTCATCCTTTACAGATCTGCTTCCATTTCCCGATGTGATGCATTCTTTGGTCTTCCTCTTTTCAGTTTCCACTCAGGATTCCAAGTTAGGGCTTGTCTGTTGATGCAGTTTGATGATTTGTGTAGTGTTTGTCCTATCTATCTCCATCATTTTTTCATAATTTCCTCTTCAGCTGGAAGCTTGTTTGTTCTCTCCCTCAGAAGGCTGTTGCTAATAGTATCCGGTCAAAGCTTGTTGAGTATCTTGCGTAGACAACTATTTATAAATACTTGTATATTCTTGATGATGGTTGTTGTAGTTCTCCACGTTTCAGCTCCATACAATAGGACTGTCTTGACGTTTGTATTGAAGACTCCCACTTTGATATTGGTTGATAGACAGTTGTTTTGAGTTCCATATGTTCTTCAATTGTAGGAATGAGGCCCTTGCTTTGCTAATCGTCGCCTTTATGTCTGCATCTGATTTTCCTTGTTCATCGATGGTGCTTGTCAGATATGTGAAGGATTCCACACCTTCCAGAGTTTCTCCATCAGGTTTGATTGGATTGCTGTTCTCCGCGTTGTATTTGAGGACCTTGGTTTTCCCCTTGTTTATGTTGAGGCCTACTGATGCAGAGGCTGATGCTACACTAGTTAACTTCATCTGCATTTATTCGTGTGTATGGGATTGATTACAAACAATTACAAATATATGTGATTGACAATTAGTCACTTTTTAAGTAAACTTTCTCAATATGTTTTTTGAATGATTACATTTTTATGGTGCATACTACTGATGTTGACAGATATATAAATAGCATGTATCAGCAATCGAAGGTTGAATGCCTGAAAGCAGAAGATTGAGAGAAATCGAAGAGAAGAGAATACAGAACAATGAGTGATTGATATGGAAACGAAGGAACAACAAAGTCTTTGATTTTATCAAGATTTTCTGCAATGTTCTATTGAAATACATTTTATTGTTCCCATTGCTGTTCTCATTTACTACAGTCAGTCAGTCAGTCAGTAACAACGTAGAACTTCGTACATACGTACATCAGTTCGAGTTGCCATACCACATTATCACAGAGATACAATTGTCAATTCAAATCTCATAGTGGTAGAGGTAGTAAGAGTATAAGCAGTAGTCGGAAACATTAGGGTTTGACGATGTTATTAAAGTAGTGTAATCTAGTGAAATAAATTTGGAAAGAGGAAAAAAAGTAAGGGACATGAAGAACTTAGAATGTTAGAATTTGGGAGAACACAAAGAGTGGATTCACCTGTGCCATAAATGACACAAGTTGGCAAATGCTAGTTGAGCTTTCTGTATCTGTGCTAAGATTTCGTCACAAACCAGACCACTGGAGCTGATGAGACTCTCAAGATAAATGAGGCGGTCGACACGCTCAACTACTTCACTCCTTATCATTAGTTCGAGTGTCGATGCAACCCAATTCTGAAATAACATTCTGTATTGCGATTGGAAGAATCGCATCCCATTCACTACACTAAACCTCAACTTTGTATTGTGATTTTACATATTCTGTACTGAGAATGTTTGTAATGAATATAATCAAAATATGGTACTGAAAAGCGATTATCATTATTGATATCATTAGTTGAGATACCATTGACAACAAAAATCAACTTAGTAATGGATTCTTCAGTAACGATGTACTAAAAGAAGACATGGTGGAAATCATACATTAATTACATCATTTCTACCTCTTCTTCGGTTTTTTTTTCTTTACATACTCTATTATTCTTTCAATTCTATTATTGCTCTGTTTTCCTTCCTCCTCTCTCTAGTTCATTCTTCTGCTAGTAAGTATTCCACTTCTTATCCCTACTATATACTACTTATATTTGTCCGTATAATTGGCATATATCACACCGGAAATCATCAATCTTACAAGGAATTTTAATTCACGATTAGTAGACCTCAAGTGATCACTCATGTTTTAACCAGTTCACTAACTAGTGTCTACAACTAAGCGGTCTGAATTTTTGACAAGGTCATTGTATTTGGTCTTGAGGATTCCTACTCATTTGTAATCCTGAAGGCCAAAGAAGAAGAGGAAGACTAAAATCACATTACTTCGAGAAATGGAGACAGACATGCGAAGAATAAACAGCGATTGGATAGAACTAGGAAGAAAGGCCCAGGACAGGGTGGGTTAGAGAATGCTGGTCGGTGACCTATGTTCCATTGAGGGGTAACAGATGTAAGTAAGCAAGGCATTATGATTGATTCACACAACCTATCCAGACCATGAAAGAATGGAAACAATCAGCTTTCTGTAGTGAATCTTTACAGTAACCTTAATTTAAGTTAAACTTGAGGATAGTGTGATTGAAGTGATATAATTTGTCGATTATTACGATGCATTTTTAAATAATCCTGACTTGTTCTATGATATGATACGATGAAAATGTGCGTAGAGTATTGATCCATAAATGGATCCTAAAAGTTACCATTCATTATGCTTGTCGGAACCTAACACTGAATATAACCATACTTACTATCAGATGATATAAACATATACGAAATTTAAGGCAATGTCTAGGCATACGCACAGTATGCACATATGCCAATAAGAGACTGATCAATTTCAGTCCTAAAACATCAATCGGAAGATTCAAGTAAAACAATATCAAATGAATTAAACTTCAACCCATTGCACAAGCAAGTGGCTATCAGGACTCAGTAGCTAAGTGGATAACGTGATGGCGTTTGAAGCGAACGGTACTGGGTTGGAGTCCCAGAGTGAACATCAACTCTGAGATGCAGGTACATCCAGCTGACGAGTCCCAAACAGGACGAAACGCGCGTCCTGGATTCCACTATCAGCCACTATCCATCTTTGCCAATAATTATGTTTGTAAATTAAGGCAATATCGAGGCATACGCATAGTATGCACATATGCCAATTAGAGACTGATCAATTTCAGTCCTAAAACATCAATGGGACGATTCAAGTAAAACAATATCAAGTGAATCTACGAAATTTGTTTATGATGAACACCAAAAGAATTATAAACAGTTTGATGAAAAAGTCCTTAACTATGAGCTGGGAGCTTCTGATGGATCACAATTCACATTGAGATTATATGTGTAATTATTGACTTAAATTTAAACACATATAACTACAATTCAGTGAGTTTTGTAGATATTATACAATCTTTATAGTCTATGTCATGAACCAATCTAAGCTAGATTACCATAGGAAATCATGAAATAAACGGCTGTTTCATTCCAGTATAGAACTCATCAGCCGGGTCGTCGACATGTACCATTAACAAGATCTATAATATGAAGAAACGGCAGTTTAAGGCTTCCAAGTTTTCAGTAATGGATTAGTTAAGATCAATTTGATTTAAATGATCAAAAAATATATAGCTAGATCTAAATATTTAATAATTTACCGGTTTTTGATTATGTATTCTCAAATTGCTCTGAATGACTGAAAATAATATAACTATTGAAGATAGCTTATAACAAAGTAATTTCAATAGTTGAGATCATGATGACAATGGTGGATGTGTCGCTCGATCTCATTGATTAGTTGAAGTCACACATCAACACCGTCGAACGCCGGCTCATTGGTCTAGTGGTGAAGCGCTCACGCACGAGACTGATAGGTCCTGGGTTCGAATTTCGCCGGAGGGGGGCGGGGTTGTAGATGCGCACTACTGAGGAACTCCTACAATAGGACAAAACGGCCATCAAACAGTGCTTCCAGGTTTTCCATAGCGGTCTTTTTTATATTATAATAAAGTCACTGGAAAACATTCTCTATCAGAAACTTAACTACCAAAATTTAAATTCAGGAAAAACAAACGTTTCAGTATTCTTTTTTATTGAGATCATGAACTGATTGATGTTAGACCACCGTTGGAAACCTGGAAGCACTGGACAGCCGTTTCGTCCTATTAAGGGACTCCTCGGCAGTGAGCATCCATGATCCCCCATCGCGGGGTTCGAACAGAGAGCCTTTAGTCTCATGCGCGAACGCTTAACCTACTGGATCACTGAGTCGGCATCCAATATTAATTTTAATATAAAGAAAGTAAAATTAAAACATTAAAATATCACTTACTTCTGGAAAAATTCAAATGAAATTGATAACACCATCCATGTGTTGTAAATATTGAGATAAAATCATTAATTGTACATTGATCATCACCATATTGACAACTGAAATGGTATAAATCAACGATTGTGTAAAGAACAAAACAAATTGAATATAACCAGAAAATATGAAGTCTACTAGTTGAATTCATGAGTCAACATAGACTAGATCATTGTTGATAACCTAGAGGTATTAGGCGGCCGTTTCATCTTAGTTTAGAATTCTTCAGCAATATGTATCTGTTCAATGCATTCAAGTTTTCAATGGTGACCTAGTTTACATCGACTCATGAATTCAACTATTAAAATTACTACAAACTCCACAAACCCCATTCTGTTGAAAAAGAATAGGAAGTTTAATAGACAATGATATGTATCTTATGTGTATAATAAAACTATATCCTAATGACAAATTAAAGCATGCAATAGTGTTTCAATGGGTAGTCTTTGAATTACTTGGATCTATATATCATTTGTGCACTGAATGGTGTGACGGCAGTAAGCTGTTTGCTTCAGACGACCAGCATAACAGCGATGCTACCTTCCCACAAAGAAGGGTAGGATTAGAAAAGGTTGACCACAAAAATGCACACCTTGCCTTATCCCACGGATATCCGTCTCCGGCGGTAAAATCTCAACAAGTACGGAGCTAACACTAAAACTACTCACATAAAGTTCATATGTGACCGACCTTAAGAAGTTGTCCCTTGGGCACTGCGGTCACGCTCTTGCGTCACTAAAACCACCTCTAATCTAATTTCCTTTTCAGGTACCTCCAGAAGAACTCTTCCACAGTGCGGGCAATCGGAAAGTGATAACCGCCCTCATACTTCTAACGGCACTCAAAACCACTGTGTTCATAATCAACCTCCCTCTTCACACTGAATGGTTAAGGTCAATTCAGATAAATATTTTGATCTGTTGAAATTGCAAAATTAAGTAACAGAAAGAAGTCAATCATTTCAAAGTTTACACCACGGAATGATCATAGTTAAACAACTACTAAAAATAAAGAAGCATTGAACAGTTGACTCGTCTATGTATGAAACTCCTCTGAAATCCGCATTTATAACCATAGCCGAAGATCGAACTTATATTCTTTAGGTCTCACTGAGAGCTCATAACCTTTAGATCATTGAGTTGGTTTCGAATGATTCATATTTTCAACCTCAGTTAGATCTCAACATTTGTAATCATAACTAAATGTCATTATTAAGTAACTGTCTCACACACCCATTACAGTGCGGCTTCAATGATCACAGGTTTAGATGATTACTACCAGTATACAGTAAATCACTGTTACATTATTTCATCTGACAACACACATACTACTGATTAAACATCTTTCATTAAGTCATATTCTTCAAGTGTTTAATAACAACTCGTCATCAAATTAAGATTCCTTCAATCAATCAATTAAGGTGTAAGCTAGATTCAAGATGAACTAGTTATCAGTAGTTTGATATTGATTATTGGAAAGCAAATATTTCAGTGAACAAGAACACCAATAGGAACAATCGATTATATTTCAGTACGAAATTACAGAACATCTCACTAAAATCTGAAAACTAAATATTATTATCAGAATGGGTTTTGTGGAGATTTTTAAAAATTTCACCCCGCAAGGTGCGGGGTCGTGGATGCGCACTGCTGAGGAGTCCCATACTAGGACGAAACGGCCGTCTAGTGCTTCCAGGTTTTCCATGGTGGTCTAGCTTCAATTGACTCATGATTTCAACTTGTGAAACTAAATATTAATCCATCATCTCAAACTTGACTATTCCTGTAGTAAACATCAATCCATTGTCTCAGATTTCATTGTTCATGCATTTTCATATCAATTGCGTTCCGCTGCCATTCTTTCTTCATTGACCTTCTACTGAAATACATTCTATGCCTGACCACCATTACATACTACTTGTGTGGATATAACTAACCCACACCATAATATGAGAATATTAAAGTGATTCAATCTCTCCATAAACATATAGATATTCTTTAAAACAGATGAATTGTGGTTTGTGATGAGATCCATACCGTGAGTTTTTTCTCCTATTCGCATGTCAGTATTGATGTTCTTGCTGGGGCTAGAACTAAGTATCCATCCTTAGCTTTAATTGACATAGTGCGACTTCCTGAACTAGTGATTATAGGTAGCTATTAACTTGATTAATAGGTATAACCTTTTTAACCATTCTTAGTATTGGTTTGAATTATTCGCTTGTAGATATTCAGGATGAATATCCTTTTTTTAGCAGTCTTTGCTAGTATATACATATCCTCAGCATCTCACTCCGACAGTGATCCATCCTGTCATGAATTCGTTACAATTTGAACCCATAACATGGATGATATGAGTAGTATACTCATTGATCAAGTTAATAGTGATCTAAATCTGGTAACTCAGCGAATTACTTATTTACTACTTATTATTATTAATACTTTATTTATTTATTTAATTAAACACATAGATATTGGTACAAGGAGGCACCAAATAAATATGTGCCACATAAATCATTCGATGTATATGAGGGCCGGGTGCCCAAACTGAAGCAGGTGGTTTTCTTAAGAGGTCATTCCACGAGGTCTGATTCACAAGACAATAGAGCAACGTAAAGAGATGCAGTTCCATGGTAACCAGTGACAGACGATTGGTTCATACGCCATTTGTTCCCTCAGGATACTGGAATCAGCCTATGGGCACCATTGGTTTTAAATGAGAGTTTTCCAACTCTCCTAGATGAACTCTCCATGTCTATCAATCCCGATTAAAACGTCGGACATTCACTTTTCATCCTCACAATTTCATAAACAACATAACTGTCTTAAATGAATATTTACCTTTTATTATTGACCTTTAATGATATCACATTTTTAGAATAAATAATTATGGGAAATTTAAGATGGGAAAATCTCTAGAGAATCAATCTTATTCAATCATATGGGATATATATGTGAAATTTTTCTACTTCTATCACCCTGTTATACTCATATATCCCTAATATTACCTGTAATGAATGAAAGTGTTATGACCTCATGAAGGTTTACCATAAAAAAAAAACAAGCGGCAAATTAGATCATGACCATTAGGCTTATCTATTTGGTTTAAACAAACAAACAAACAAGCAGTAAATTAAGGCTTGTTTACTATGAAGTACAGTTTTATATCTTTTAAAGTATCCATACCCTTTATTGTTAATCGTTTTACAGAATAAGATTCATGTTTCATATCGGTTCATAAATGACTTATTTGATCTTGATAATGATGAATAGTTAATGAAGTAAACTAACCATTTTTTTTATAATTAATTATGATGAAAATGAAAGAAATACGATTACTATTGAAGAGCTCTACATAAGGACGAAACAACCATCTATTACTTTTAGGTTTTCCATGTTAGTTAAGCTTTAATTAACTCAGGATTTCAACTATTAAAATTATTATAATATCTACAAAAAACCCTATTCTGTTAATTCCATATGTTTAATTCAATGTGATAATGATGATTTGGATGATGATGAAGATGATGATGATGACTTCGCTGTCAGCGGCTATATATGCGTGTATCCATGCAAGAATATTTGGAGAGGGAGAGTGGACTCTCTCTTTCTCTCTCTCTACCTTCGGTTGTACCAGGGCATATCAAATATATAAACTACTAGCTAATGTGAGAACAATTTTTTCAATTGTTGACTATACAGCTTCACATCACTAAATAACTATAGATAATAAAAAGTAACGGAATACCCTGTTCGTCTTAGTTTTGAACTCATCAGAAGTGTTCATCTATGACTATTTAAATTTAATTATGTCGGGGTGAGAAAAACATTATCAACTTCTGTAAGCTATTATTTTATAACCTCACGAATTGACTGAAATTAAACGTATAAACCAATCAACGCAAGCTAATGGTTTAAAGATTAACGCCTTACTTCTATGTATGATGGTTATGGTTTTGACATATAGTGGTATTATCAGTTTAGAGGTTGTGGAGATTGTTAAATTTTTTTGATTGAGATCATGAACCGATTGGTGTTAAACCACCATTGAAAACCTGGAAGCACTAGACGACTGTTTCGTCCTATTATGGGACTACTCAGCAGCGTGCATACACGATCCCTTGTTGGGTAGAGACAGGTATCTACCTCAGTACAATAGATGTTCACGCAACTTTGTGAATTGATTGAGTTTAGATATTAACACCATTGGATACCGGCCGGCTCAGTGGTCCAGTTGGTTAAGCGTTCGCGTGCGAGACTGAACGCTCTGTGTTCGAATCCTGCGAGCGGGATGGTTGATGCGCACTGCCACTGAGGAGTCCCACAATAGGACGAAACGGCTGTTCAGTGTTTCCAGGTTTTCAATGGTGTCTAACGTCAATTGGTTCATGATCTCAATCAAAATAATATAGGAGTATTGTTGATCTGCAATAATGATATCTACCGGTTATCGAAGTGAATTCAATCAGTGATGGAAATTTATCATGGAATCGGATAATTCTCTTCCTATAACTAGAAATTAAATGTTGACTACGTTTGTTTTTATGAAAATATTAAGGCACTAACTTAAAGCGTCTTGCCGACGGTACTGTTTTTTGTGTGCACTAATAAGGAGTCTAATACTAGGATTAGGCAGCTGTCTAGTTTTCAAACTTATATATATACGCTGCCAGCGTTAGCAGTTAGTGTATTATTGAAAACAAGAAGGAAACCGAGTTGCTATATCATTCTATTTTCGTAATACTTCCGCAGTATGCGTCCTTCATGACACTATAAGGATTCGAACATAGATTCTATAAATTTCAAAATAAATATCTATAAATTAATGACCTATATGTTCACGATACTGCTAGACAACCGCTCATGACATTGAAAATATTTGTCTTACTACTGAAATTACTAAACTTCCCCCTACTCTCAAGTTATAGCTTATCATTAGAACTTCAGAACTTCATTTTAAACACAATCAGTCACATTTTCAACCTTCTTTTGTTAGAATACAATTTTCACTTAATGCCACATAGTTGATCATATACATTCTTAGCAAATGCATCAGTTTTAATAGT